TTTTATTTTCAATTTATGGAATAACACAGTATAATAATAAAAAAATGATTGCATATGAAACTGCAAATCTATTATGTACAACTTGCTATTCCTTTTAAATACATAATAAAGTTACCATGTAAACTTCCTTTTTTTCTTCCTTTCCTCCCATCCTACAGATGGCTATTATTAAACAAAAATGTGTGTGTATACATACACACATACCCTCACATATATATACATACACATATACACACATATGTAAAATTATTCTATGCACACTTCTATTTATCAGTTCCTTCTCTGGACACAGATACTGTCTTCCTTTTTATATCCTTTGTAGTTAATTTGAGTGTTTATAATAGTCAATATGACTGAGTCACTGAATATTCTTACAACAATGTTGTTGCTGTATACAATGTTCTTTTGGCTCTGCTCATTTTCCTCTTATTTTGTGCAAGTCTATCCATGTTTTTCTTTTTATTATTACATTTTATTTTAATTTATAAAGTAAAATAAGTATTTCCATAACAGGACAATAAAAAAGATGATAGCACATCATTTCTTATATAACACAGTAGTATTCTATCACAATCATATAGCTCAACTAGTTCTGCCTTTCCCTAAATGACAGGCATTTCTAGTTCTTTGCCACCACAGAGAGATGCTATAAATATTTTAGTACATATAGGTTCTTTTCCTTTTTCCCTAATCATCTTTGGAAATAGGCCTAGTAGTGGGATTGCTAGGTCAAAGGGTATAGGCAGTTTAATACCCCTTTGGGCATAATTCCAGATTGTTCTCCAAAATGGTTGAATCAGCTCACAATTCCAATAACAATGAATTAGTACCCCAGTTTTTCCACATCCCCTCCAACATTTGTCCCTTTCCCCTTCAATCATTTTAGCCAATCTGATAGGTATTTTAAAATGTGTAGTTTATCCCATGTGAACATCTCAGCTGATCTATTTTAAATTGTCATGTATTGCATAAAGAAGTGTAGTTTGATGTAATCTGTGTTAATATCTACAAACAGGAGAATCTTGAGTATCTTGCCATCCATAGGGAATTCCTCTTCTATTTTTTAATTGATTCAGGACATCTTACATGAAACTGGCAAACATTCATCAAACATATTTCTCTGTTTTATGCATTGATTTATTTTGAGAGATCAGAAAAGATGCTGTAGTAGGAAGACAAGCTCTCCCCACAACTATTCAAAGAAAAATATAAGAACAGCATCAGATCTAGTAGTGATCAGGAAATCTAAGGCTTTTGCTAAGCACTAGATCTTTTAATATTATTATCCTATAGGAGACCATTTTTTCTCTCATTTTTTTAAGTCAAAAACCATTTTAATTAGATTTGCAGGTTAATAAAAGTAGATATGATCTTTTCAATTTTTGTTATAGGCACTCCATTCCTAGTCAGGAATTCATTGGTGTAGTTTAAGGTATGTGTGGTCCAGAAATCAAAATTCCTCTATCAGACACCACCTTCTCAAGCTGCTATTTACTTCCCAAATCATTTTCTTCTCTTCTGTATCTTTTTCCTTCAATATGTATCAATGAGCAAGACATCACCTCTGCTCCCATAAGCTTTCAATTTTTTTAATAATTATCTGTAGTTTTCAACATTCACTTCCATAAGATTTTGAGTTTTACATTTTCTCTCCCTCCTTCTCCTTCCCCCTCCCGAAGATGGCATGTAAACTGGTATATGTTCTATTTGTACATTCATATTAAGCATATTTTCACATTAGTCATGATGTATAAAAGAATTAGAACTAATGGGAGGAACCAAGAGAAAGAAGAAATAAAACAAAACAACAAAAGAAAAGGATAGTGATTAGTATGCTTCCATCTGCATTCAGACTCCATGGTTCTTTTTCTAGATGTGGATAGCATTTTCCACCATGAGTATGTTGGAGTTGTCTTAGATCCTTGCATTGCTGAGAAGAGCTAAGTCTATCAAAGTCAGTCATCCCACAATGTGATTGTTACTGTGTACAATGTTCTCCTGGTTCTGCTCATTTCACTCAGCTTCAGTTTATAGAAGTCTTTCCAGGTTTTAGCCTTCAGTTTCTTTCTCAAGTCTTGGCAATATTTTCTTGGCTTCTTGTAACAGTATTGCTGAAGTTTAGGTGTTTAGGGTTACTGGGACCCCAAAATCATGGATCCTGCCTGAATGAATTTGACCTACACCTTCTTTCAGCTAAAGACAAGGTTTATTAGAACATCTTCCATATTGGCCAAACACTTAAGGAATCTGAACATTAGTGAGCTATTGGCTAGATTTTAAGAATCTGAGCAGTGGCTAGATTTTAAGAATCTGAGCATGTTAATGGAGACAAGATGGACCTTATATATAGAAAGACTGTGGGAGACATCTAGGAGTGGCCAAGTAGTCTGGGGATTGTAAGGTAATAGAATGCCAGGAACCTGGATTATGTGGCCAAGGTAGAATGGAGCCTAGAGGTAAGACAATGGAGGTCTAGGCTAGGTTAAGGATAACAGAGAATTAGGAGATTGGGCATAGCCACAATGAAAGGCCAGCTGATGGGATTATAGCCTCTGGTGAAGGCCAGTAATTTGGCCACATGGGAAAGTCTAGGGTTTTTCTTTTTTTGGGGTCCAGATCCCATCCTCATCAATATCATTTATTCACATGGTAGTAATCATCCATTTTGATAAATATTAAAACATTCTCTTTTATGGGTCTTAAACACATGCCCTAGGAAGACAAGTGGGGAAACTGGCAGACAGAGGTTAAGTAATCTGCCCAGGGACACACAAGTATCAAAGTAAGATTATAATTCAGATCTTCCTGATACTATGTCCATTGCTCTGTCTTTTTTATGTGTTGTCTTCACCCATTGGAATTTAAGTTTCTCAAGGATGAGCACTGTTTGTTGTTGTTTGTTTGCAATTATGTTTCTGGCACACAGTGCCTAGCACATAGTAAATGCTTAATAAATTTTCTATCTATTTATACACTAGTGCTCCTTTCATAGAAGGAGGATTCACATCACTGAAAGCCATTTTCCATTTCTCTTCTGTTCCATAGATTGAAATAGATGAAAAATCCATTGCTTACCTTTTTGGTAATAAACCTATCCATACTTACCTAGGCTGGTACTTGGTCCCAGGCTAAGACTAAGACAGTATTCAGAAGATTCCTAATTTTGTAAGAACTACAGTCAAGTAGCATGATCTCTGAAAACCTAAATCATTTTATACCACAATCAGGAATTGGGAGCCAGACTTCTAACACAGGTACTAATTGTAGAAGGCCCTAATAGTGGATGTAGGAATAATAAATCCCAAGAAAGCATACTGTTTCCCTCTCTTTTGTATCCATTGAAAGAAATATAATTTTGTTTTAATTTGGGGGAACAGAGGTAAATATTTTGAAACCTAGTAAGTACTTAAGTTTTTATTTTTTGAAGAGTTCAGATAATACACTTGACAGAGAGGTTAGAAACCTGGCACCCTTTTTAAAAGACTTATTCAGAGTTATTGAGCCAATAAATAAGCTACATTCCTAACATAGAGACAATAATTTTCCATAGCTCACTAACACTTCATGAATTTTCCCCCAAAAGCCTGTACCCTTAAAGAAAATGAAATCACCAAGGAGCTGATGTGCCACATTGTTTTAACAGTATTGAAACTGAGGAGCCTTCTTTGTGATAGATGCTAAAGCCTGGCCTCAATAATGCATGACTCATGGAAAACCAAGCTGCCTATTCCAAATGGAAAGTGTAGAGCAGAGAGAAGACAAATAAGTGATTTATCTGTTGTCTTGGCACCTCATTTAAACCCTTTGGACCCTAAAGAATATGGTTAGCAGAATCTTGTTTGTTAGCAGATATCAAGCTAGTATAGGAAGATAGCCTAGAAAGTACTGGTTTTCTTGTAGGCATTTAAAATAATTAATTCAATACATTAAAATCTTGAATGTAGTAAAAAATATTCAAATAGAGTGAAATATTATAACTATTAAGTATAATACATTAAAATGCAATATGTTAACAAACCTCTAATATCATTAGCCTGCGTTCTCTACCATCATTGATCCCAAGTATGCCACTTTTTAGCAGTTTCTTGAGAAACCACTGTGAAAAAAAATCATTCATCACCCTGTGGCCAGACTTCTGGGTATGGGCCACCTGAAAGTTGAATAGCTCAGTCATTAACCATTCCTGAGGTTAAAGGTTTTCTAGCTTAGGAGGACCTGTGAGAGTTTGCACACTATGTCATAGCCTTACATGCCTCAGGGTCATCTCCATGCAATATTGAGGCACCAGAGTAGGACTTTTAGTAGGGAAAAGTTTTATATTGTTGAAAAGTAAAAAAATTTTAAGCTATATTAGCATATAAAATTATCCATAAAATGTGTTTATAGATAGTTAAATGTATAATGTGTAAAACAATTTCCTTTTCTTGGGACATTTGTGTAAATACATGATTTTTTTTCAGAGAATAGTGTACTTTAATAAGATATTTTAAAAGCATAAATGTACATCTCAGAAAATATAGAGATAAACCAAAGGCTTACAGATCTCTATTATGGATACAAGACTTACCATCTTTAGAAAGAATACTTATTCAAGTTTATATCTTATTTGCGTACATGGCATCCCTCACTTTGATCATTCATCTAAGTATCTTTTAAGGTAGCCTAACATCCACAAGAAAAGGGGGTGGGGTTTCTGCTTCCTGGAGAAGAAAAATTTAAAATCCACCTTGAGATAAATAAATGATACCCATTTAAAGATTGCCAGGAGGTCTGAGTTCCTAGGCCATCTCTCTTATCTGTGAATCAAATTTAAGCAATAGCAGTCTTATCACTGTTTTTCCTAACCAGTCTAAAACTGATTGTAACATTCAGAAAAGCTTCTGCATAATTTCTAGAGCTAAATAGCACTTGTTTATAATTCAAGGTATAATGTGATTATAATAGCAATTACTATTATTGATTGAGCATTTCTCATTGTAACAATGATTATTCTCTTCTAG